CTAATCTCAAGTCACCCCAACTTCATAAGAGGCTTGTCAGGAATGAAGTCTCACGTGTGCTACTTACAACACCACAAGAAAGAAGATCCCGACTTCAAGCACAAATAATTCTAATTGATATTAAGGAATCCAGCTTTACAAGGGTTAGCATCGATAGGGTGCATTAGTGAAGCCAGGAAGGAGTCGCAACTCGTCTTCTGGAAAATCAGACATCCAGTCGTCGAGGCGGATTTTACGAAAAGCGTTGGAGGGTGGTTTGGTTGTCGTTTTTGCATCCAATCGTTGATAGAGAAAGATGCGGCATTTGACGGGTACGAGAACTTTATTTTCAATCTAAAGTGGCATCATCACGAAAGTATCAGAAACACAATAGCATCAAGAGACCAGTGGTAGCTTTAAAAAACTGCTATGAATGAGAACCATGACATGTACACAAGAAAGAGAACACTAAAGAACTCAATCACGTAGTACGAGGAGGGTCACAGATAAGCTGACCCACTATCTTCCCATATTTGGGGACAGAAGATCAGTTTAGACATTGAGACCATTTCAAATGCAAGGAGTAACACTTTTGAGTGTTCATAATATACGCAGACAAAACGTACATTGACGTTTACAGTGAATTCTTCTAGTGTAGACGCGGTTACAGGTTCATCAGGCAACGCAATGTCCTCTTCTTTAACGACAACTCCCTAGGCGGTAAGTTAACGATAATTTCCTCAGTTAAGAGACTATGAATTCGCCACACCGGTTCAACTTACGATTCTACGGAATGCCACCTTCACATGTTTTGTCGTCAAAGTCCAAGGAACAGCCGGGTTCATAGGTATGTACAAAGTCATGTTGAGGAGACGCTGTTGAGTTTCGTATGAATGACCAAAAAGGATGTTCGGATCCTAAAAATTGTACACCGTACTTTACTAGGTACTAAGGTTTGTAGCAACAGATACTGTTAGAGAATCATAGCGTGCCTCTGATTTCAGTTCATGTACGCGCTCTGGAGTGGGAAGCTCTGCAAGATTACGCAAGTAGAGATTATTCCAAAATCTGTTGCGGTGAATTCTGACCAAACTTCCCTTTGGGCCTAAGCCTAGGGAGGAGAAGTCGAATAGTCAGCAAAGGATATGGTTAGCATCCAGAGCTTATATGCAGGCAGCAGTGTCCACAACACATGCAATCAATTAGTCTCTTGGTTGAAACACACTAAATTGAAGCAAACACATGGCAGACCGTTTTTATAAGTTTCGATGTCCAAACACACCGGCTATATTGATATTAAAAGTAGAACTAAAGCAAGACACAAAGCACATTTTTTAAGGAACCTGACACGTTATCCCTGAGTAGAACTTCAATAATCGGTTCTTCATCGTCCTTCTTTCCTTCAATATAAACTTGTTGCTCAACTGTAAGTTCTTGTGTACCACCATTTGCCGTAACGTATTGTGGAACACGAATGGGATATTTCCGCCTAAGATAAGTGATGTTCTATAATTCTTTAGTAAGGAAAGAAAAGTACACACTCTCGACCAACATGATGGGCGCAAACACGCCCATTGCAAATGAACACCGCATCTGACCACGGAGCTCAACATGCTGCATGATAATTGGAGTCTGTAAAAGCAGGCTAATCAATCATACAAAATCGTAAGGTTTTAAAGCTATTTAGTGTGGATTTGAACTTAGTACAAGATGCTTAGACCTTGACATCTATTTAGGCTAAAACTTGTAATGAGAGATTCAAGGTAATGCACTTAAAAGAGTACTGTTATTAACGCACCTAAATACATTTGTCAGCCTTAAATCGCTGCACCACAGAAAATACAAGATCATAAATGATTAACTCTTCATCGGTAGCAACATCTGTTGGTTCTCTACGCCAGATTATGACTTTTGTGAGACTGCGTTTTTATTTACTTCAATTGAACTCGAGTTACTGTGCAAAATTGCAGCCATTCTCACGACGGATTAATTGGGCTTTTATCTAAAGACAAAGCAGATTAGCTAATGTGACCCCAGCGGAACAACTTGTAAACTCACTTTATTTGAACTAATCATCTTCTGACCCTTAGTAGGGCTACAAATAATGTCCAATTCTAGTCTTC